ATGCATCAAAACAACAAGTCTGGTGTCCATATATATATACACCATGTCAGGGTTTTTCCAGACTGACACATGTACAGCATGTCCAGACCCTCATATTTGCTTACATGCCATTTATTTTGCATTTGATAAATATAATTTTACCATGAATTTAAGTTAGACAGACTGCCTCCCTGCATCTTGGCTCTATACCTGTAGTGTTGTTACATGACTGCTGTTATAATGTCCTATAAAAAGCACTTCAGCTGATCTGTGACTCTCAAGAGCTCTCCCGTGTCAAGCATTACCACTCAGCTGTAAGATTTCATCCTCTCTCTCTCTCTCTCTCTCTCTCTCGCTGATAGACAGGTGTTTATTAAGAGGTGCTGACAGTGCTATAGTGCTAGAAGACTTTCAACTTGATCTCTTCTTCACTCTTTTGATTAGACAGGGGCGAAAGTGTGAAAATGGTCATTGCAGTTTCCCTGTTTTCATTGCGAGAACCTCGGCTCAGTTTTTGTCAGCTTCTCCTAACAGTTAAGAAGTGAATTAGAAAGGAGTCGAGCTGATCCTAGATCAGGATAAAAGAGGAATTGCTAGGCTAGCCCACACCTCCTCCTTCTTTCCCCAAATCCACAGCTGCGATCCTGGATCAACTGTGTCAACTGTCAGATTCAATAGAGTAACACGCTGTGAAGGGGAAACACTCATTCATTAACAGTGTCAATTCCAGCTACTATAAAGTGACTCTGTGGCACTGATAGGGGATATGCATTGATTTCCCTTCAGTGGCAGCCCAGAGTGTGTTTTAATGGCCATTATTCAGAGGCCCAGCTACGATGTGCTAAAACGCCTGTCCTGTTAACCTCACAGGCTTCCAGGGCTGTGCTCACAGAGAGGCAGACTCTTCAATAACTTTGTTTTATGGGAGTTAGACTTCTGCAAAGATATTTAAACAAAATGATTTGGACAATTGCCAGATAACTTACATACTGTTCCCAGAGTGGATAAACATTCAGGTTGATGGCTGTTTTGCTTTAAGTAGACAGATCAATTTCACCTGATCATTATAGAAATTTGTATGTGTGAGAAAGAATGAGCATTAAAATATGTATTTGTCCATGACCAGGCAGTAAGACCTAACTAGGGATGTAACCAGATATGAACTAAACAGATTATATGTTCTAAATTAATACAAATACAGATATGAACAGTAGGTGCACTATTATTATTGTTATTATTATTATTATTTATTATTATTATTTTTTTTAGAAAGCTTCATGTTAAGACTAGGTGTGTACATCAGGACTGGGATTCCATAGGATAAAACAAGCGTAAGCACAAGATTTTGTTTTACGTTCTTGTGGAGCTAAGCATTAAGCTTGTGGACTGGTTGCCAGGTTTCAGCTAAAATACCCACACAAAATACAACTCAAAAACAACTCAAAAGAGAGAAGAAGAACACATATATAAATATTTGGATCATTAAGCAAATACAGATATGCAGATGAAGTAAGAACACCCTGTGACAAGGAGGAGGGAGAAGCCAGGTTGTGAAAAAGCACACCTGGAACTGATTTGTCCAATCAGTGGGACAGAGAGATAAACGATCAGCTGGAAGTAGCAGTAAGAGCGAGAGAGACGCATGTGCGCTCTGTGTTACGCTTGTGTGTTTTCTGTTCTGTTTGAGTTTGGTTTATTATTAAACTTTATGTTTGTGTTCAGCCGGTTGCTACCTCCTCCTTGCTCGACTTTAAAGTTTTTTACACTGGTGCCGAAACCCGGGAAGGAGGAGGGACACACTGTAAGAAAGCTCTTTCCACTGGATCGAAACTCTGAGGAGGCAGTGGTGCTGGAGAGGTTGCTGAGGAGGAGTCTATGCCGTCTGCTGGGAGGCGGAGGAACCTCTACCGTCTGCCTAAAAGGGGAGGAGTGGTTGCTGTCTGCCAGGGGATGTAGGACCCGCTGCTGTCCCCAGGGGAAGCGAAGATGTAGCTGCCATCTGCCTGAAAAGGGGAGGAGCCATAGCTGTCCATCAGTGAGGTGGAGTTGTGGCTGCCATCCGCCAGAATAGGGGAGGAACCGCGGTCTCCCGCTTGTAACTCCACTGCCATCGCCTGGCATCGTGGGTGGCTGAGAACAGGAGTGTTTTTTTTTTCTCTCTCTCCTCTTTTTCTCTCTGGCTCTCTCTTTGGCTTGCTTCTTCTCTCACCCCCTTACCCCTCTTCATCTCTCCTCTCATTTACAGGCAAAGGGCCCAGCTGGTCAAAAGACGTAGACGAGGGGGCAGCACCACCTTCCTGAAAGGGTGGGAGGGGGTGTGCGTCAGGCCGGGGGCCTAAATCTGGTGGTGGAAGAGTGTGATGAGGAGGAGGGAGAAACCATGTTATGAGGATGCATACCTGGCACTGATTTGGCTAATCAGTTGGAGAGAGAGATAAAGGAGTGGCTGGAAGTGCCGGTGAGAGAGAGAGAGAGAAAGAGAGAGAAAGAGAGAGAAAGAGAGAGATATGCATGTGCATTTTGTGTTCTGTTTGTGTTTCTGTTATGTTTGAGTTCTGTTTAGGATTAACGTTTATGTTTATGTTTGGTCCGTCCGTGCCCGACTCTAAAATTTCTTACACACACCTAGTAAGAAAAGCTAACAGGAACACAGGTTTCAAAGTATACAAATGTACCTAGTCCACTAACTACTAACCCTAACACTAACGCTTGTTTTAAGTCTCTTGCACAACGGAACATGTTTTCTTAAAGGATTACCCTGTATTTGGCATCTATATTGCCCTCAAACATTACCAGTTTGCCCTGCTGATAAAAAAAAAGCATCCCCACAACATGATGCTACCACCACCATGCTTCACTGGGGGATGGTGTTCTCAGGGTGATGATTGGTCCTGGGTTTCCCCCAAACCTAACACTTTGTGCTAAAGCCAAACTGTTCAATTTTCCAATTATTTCCTGAATTTAAAATGCCCAGTGGATATCTTCTCACCACTCTTCCATAGCTTTGTGGCATGTCTGTGGCCTGGGTTATGGTTATCCTCTGAACAGCTTCTCCCATCTTAGCTGTGAATCTCTCCAGCTCCTTCAGAGTTACCTTGATTGCTTCTCTGAAAAATTTTACTTTATGAAAAATCTTCTATGTGCAGGTGTGTCAAAACTATTGAGTGTTACTGTCCAAATCTTGGTATAATGCACATTGTGGCATTCATTTGTAAATCACGGCCTTCTTCAGGCAACTAATACAACTAATACTGTTACATTTGCTTCTTATTTTTTGTTAATTACTACATTAAGTGATCATGTCTGGTCAGAGAAAAAAAGCTTGGGTCTTTGGGCAAATGGAGCTTTTAGCACCAGCCATCGTTCTTTTTCTCCAGCCAAGCAGATCCCCCATATGTACGCCAATAAAAGTGAGTGACTTAGGAGGAGTGTCTACCATAGAGAGGAGGCAAATTTGAGACAGATAGAGAGATAGTGAGGGTGTCAGAGCTCACTAATAGGCCCTCGACAACACATTTTTCACATCATGTCATCTGTAAGGGTTGAAATAAAAGTAATGGCCAGATCCCTCTCTGCCATTACAGCTCCGGCAGTTCAGCATTTATTTGTGTTGACTGGTGTGGGCTTGGCGGCGTGACAGAATCATAGATCCGAGATCAGACACCGCCATGATGTTCAGCGCTGTTCAGGCACTGACAGGTCCCCCGCTCGCCTCCTCATCTCGTAGCGGGAGCGTTAGCGGCTAATGCTGCGTCATATCAAATGCAGCCATCTGACACGATAACGGATCTGGCACACCGCAGACGTGACCCAGTCTGTCTTTTGTAATCGGATGACAGATAGAAGCTCGGAAATAAGAGGGTTTCTTCAGTTTCATGTAGTAAAAATTAGTGTCAGTCAAAGTTAAGTGTCTGTTTTTTGACCAGAGAGAAGAAAGATGAGGGAATTTAATGTCAGTGTTATTCACATACCAGGCTAGTAAACTAAGTGGAAATGATTTACAAGGGGAAAAAAACTTTAAATTGTGCATTTTATTTTCTTGGAAGACTCAGCTTTAAATATACTTTTTAGTTCTCAGTCTATTTGCACTATTGTTTAAGCTGGACTGCCTGATATGAAAGACTGTTTTGTCCCCTTTTATTGATGTAGCAAAATAATAAAAATAGTACTTCTCATGTGTAAGACTGTCACTGTTAATATTTGATGTGCAAGAGTTTTACTTCTTAGTACAGAGCCAAGCTACTGATGAGTATATTGGGTTGGTAGCAGCACCAGCAACAGTATTAGATAACCTTACTAGCTGGTTTAATTCAACTACAGTAGCTACATGTTCTAGCAGTAATATGGCATGGAAGGTGTGGAAGCTTGAAATGAGGGAAATTATCCCATTGACTGTTTGTGAAAGTCTTTTTGTCTGTTTGTTTTTGTTTCTAATCAAGTAACTTGTCTCCTTGAGTCATTTGTCATTTGTCACAAACAGACAAAAAGACTTTCACAAACAGTCAATGGGATAGTTTCCCTCATTTCAAGCTGGAGTAAGCTGTAGAAGATAGTTCTATGGTTATATATATATATATATATATATATATATATATATATATATATATATATATATATATATATATGTTGTCAGACAGCTTCATGCTTTTTCTGTAACGTGACAATCTGCATTTTTTGCCTTATTACCTTCGAAAGGGAGGGATACTGTTTGAGTGTTTAGAGCTGTATAATGTAAGTGATAACAGGAACTTACTTGTTTTGTGTACGTTCCACAGCATGAAACGTAAGAAACTGATAAGGCACACAACATTCATCTATCAATCCGTATTCCATACCATTTATCCGACAAAGGGTCATGGGGGAGCCTGGAGCCTTTCCCAGGGAACTCAGGGCACAATGTAGGTACGTCACATTATATTACCTTACATTTATGGTATTTGGCAGACTTACCACTTACATTTATCTCATCCATACATCTGAGCAATTGAGGAGCCTTGCTCAAGGGCCCAACAATGGCAGTTTGGCATTGCTGGGGTTTGAACTCTTGACCTTCTGAGCAGTAGACTAACACCTTAACTACTGAGCTACCACTGCCCTTTGGGGGATATCCTAGAAGGAGTGCCAACCCCTCACAGGGTACAATCGCACACTCATTCACACACTATGGACAATTTGGAAATGCCAATCAGCCAACAGGCATGTCGTTGGACCGGGGGAGGAAACTGGTGTACCCAGAGGAAACCCCCGGACCACAGGAAGAACATACAAACGCCACACACACAAGGTGGAAATGGGATTCAAACCCCCAACCCAGGAAAACTGAGGCAAACATGCTGACCACTAAGCCACCGTGCCCCTCACATACACTATGACATCCTTAAATAAATAAAAAATGTAATTGTTGACACATTTCTGTGGTATAACAGGCATAAAACATTTATTGGAAAATAATCCACTTCCGGGTGGTATTGGGTCACATCACACTACCCAGTTTTTGATTCTTTTCCTATAACAGTATGATCTGTCATGTTTGAGTCCTTACATACAGTCTGCAAAAAGAAAGGCATAAAAAATGGGAATTAATTACATTTGTTAAAACTCACATTTATTGGTTTAATGTATTTATAAATACTCAAACATGCATCAAGCAGTAGATTAGTTACATGTGTGAATATTCAGCAGGACTCAAAAGTAAAATAAATAAATAAATAAATAAATATTAATACATACACACACACACACACACCCACATATTTATTTATTTATTCTGGAAAGTTTATTTTTTACCAAAATGTTTCACTTTGGAACAATGTGAGCATACCATAAGGATTCCCAAGGGCTGTTTCAATACCTCCTATCTCTCTACTTTCTTTTTAGTTCCACCTCTGAAAGGGAAAACTTCTAGGGTTCTACAGTACATAGATTTCAACTTTTCTTCTGTAAATAGTGTATTTTCAACACACTGGCGTTGTTTTTAATATATATGCAGTAAATATGCAACCTACAGTATGATGGCATGTTCTGTTCCGCAGTAGCCATACTGTCAGAGTAAGCTGATCTGTCTTTTCTGTTCCATTTTCCATTTCAGATTCAGAGAGAGGCCGTCTATTTCAATAAGAACTCTGGCCTCAAATATGACTATGTATTGCATCATGCAGTGAAGTACAATATGTTCTTAATGTCACGCGGCATCATTCTAAGCTGGAGTGGAAGAAGTACTGTAATGTACTGCCTGGGGCGACATAAAGGGGAGGGGCGGCTCAGAGAGAGAGAGAGAGAGAGAGAGAGAGAGATGCCATAGACTTTCCTCCAGAGTAAAAATGATTTTGCATTTATGTCCAATTTTAATGTATAGTATTTTTAATCCATGCATGTCATCCATGATTCATTCAAGAAGACTTCACTTTATTCAAGTGCCAAATGCAAGCATATTTTGTATTTTATTTTAATAAACATGTTGAAGCACATAATCTCTCTTCAGTTTCAGTAGGTTTTTCATTTAACCTGCTGTTGCGAGGTCAACTAAACAGATTGCTTTTATTTCAGCTGAGAAGAACATTTTAATCGCATGAATAAGGTAGAGGATTGACTGCTGAAAAGCTCAATTGTTTTCATGCTTTACCACTTGCATTAAGATGCAGGCAGACTGTGTGTGTGTGTGTGTGTGTGTGTAAATATGCTAAATGAAGTGTGGCTTTTGTGGGTGACATTGCATTTGTGTGTGTGAGCATATATTTGTGTGTATGTATTTATGTATGTATGTATGTGTGTGTGTGTGTGTGTGTGTGTGTGTGTGTGTGTGTGTGTGTGTGTGTGTGTGTGTGTGGGCCCATGTGTTTGCAGGACCGTATAACAACATATGACGAAATGAGAAAGCACACATTTCCTTATTAGGAGCCGAAGTCAAAGGGCCCGTGCAGGACCCCCTGGCAGGCAGCGCCCTCAAGATTAAGACATATATTGGATCCATGATAGAGGGCAGAAAGTTCATTTTCAAAATAAAACAGAATATTATTCATATTCCTTTTAAAATTCAGATTGCCAGCTGACCTGTGACTTGAGAGCAGTGTATTACATTCGCAATGAGCTGCACAGTTCTCCGGCAGAGCTGATGCGTCTCTCTCTATTCATCTATCTATCTATCTATCTATCTATCTATCTATCAATCCATCTCAACACAGATGCATTCTTCTCTCTCTCTCTCTCTCTCTCTCTCTCTCTCATCCACTATTCCACACAGTTGTAATAGCATCTTATTGAATGTTAATAGTGTAAAATGAAATGTCACTCAAATATATAAATTCAGTCAATTTTATAACAAGTTGTTGTAAAGAAAAATAACAATTCAGGTGTTAAAACAAACATAAACATATTATTCATTCTTCATAAACACACAAACCTCATGTCCCTCTCAACAAATAATCATGTCGGCTTTATTTGTATATAAACTCATATATGAAGTACACACTGTTGTTTCCCCCACACACACACAATGGGTGACAATGGGTGATTTTCATATATATTGAAAATGAATATGGAGTAATGTAAACTCCACAAGTCCCGAGCTTACTATCTGTCCCAGCTTTGGTATCTTTACAATTTTCCTACAGCTTTACTACAACATAAGAGCTCTGCATATCCACCAATCCACTCATCCTGACATTCAATACAAGAACTGGCCCAATCGGGATCAAGGGAACTTGGGGTTTTGGCTCTGGCTCCTTTTCCACTTGTAATGGTCACAGTGATGACAATAATAACGACTACATCATTTCACTGTTCAGCAGTGTAATAGTATGTTCACACATACAGTTATTTTATCGCTGCAAGTCGCCAGTCACTCTACTATGAAGTCCTAGGTAGGTGTTCCTCCTACGTATTGCCATGACTGGTCTCCAGTCCCGTTGTTGCTTTGAAGGTACCTTAACAATCTCACTCATGTTTTAATGTGTCCTCGACTCTGCCTCCTGTCTTATCACTGGTTTGTCTCCACATTTGTTTTGTGATTTCTCCCATCTGTTCTCTGTTTAGTTCTTGATTCGTTTGTCTATTTATACCCTCTTCGGTCTTTAAGTATTGGTGAAGTCTCATTCAGTGTATATGCATATGCATATCTAAGTCTGGTTTCCGATGCCCCATGCCCTATGGTTCTGATTCTCGCTTGTTAAATGTTTTTTGTAACATGGATTATCCTTTTTTAGATGATTAGAAAGCCTATAATAAACACCAATATATGACAAGGAAAAGTAAGAAAACAGGGAGACCCGTTATAGACAATATAACCAATACATAATTAGTTCCTCTTTTTTTTTCTTTCTTTTTTTACCAATCAAAAACACCAGTCCTGAGTTCTTGTTTTCTACACAGAGTCTCATTTATCCACAGGAAAGGTGTCTTTCCTTTTGTGTGTCGTTTCCCCTTCTCATACTGCGGTATTAAGGAGACAAAAATGGTTCATTCACTTTCTGTAACTTTTTTTTATCACGCTTCTAGCCTGAGTGCTGAGTACCCTTAAATACCACTGATGCTGATTCTGTGAAGGTAGCAAAGACATTACATCTGAAATATTGTCTCAGAAAAAAAAAGTTTTCTGGTGCCAAATATTTGGTTCTTGGTGCCATGTCAAAATATGGGCACATGAATATATACGCCTAAACTGCAGTGAAGGTTAGATGAAGAAAAAAAAACAAGGTACTGAGGTACTGTATAAAATGGTTTCATCAATACAGTCTTCTCTCTCTCTCTCTCTCTCTCTCTCTCTCTGTAAATGTGTGTGTCTCTCTCTTTCTCTGTGTCTCTTTCACACAAAACAGAAGCACCCAACTTCAGTGAGCTAATTCCCCTCGTCTCTCTCTGCTCTCATCATCATTTCCTGTGAAACACCCCTGGCACTTAATTGCTCCTTGCCCCTCCAACATGTTTGTAATGGCAAAAAGCAGCACATAATTCTTAGTTTGTTGGCTGGCAGTGCCCAATTTCCAAAAGTGGAGTGGTGTGATAAGCGTCAGGCGGGCGGCCGGGGCCATGAATCATGGCCTGCCAGGGCTGGGCTCGGGATAATTGAGTCCAACATCTCCAACACTTTCACCATAATTAATGATAATCTGTAGCAGTGGAATCTCAGATTCCAGTTCACAGAGCTGTTTAATTAGGCTTCTGTAATGAAGGCAGCACAGCTACACAGAACAATATGGCCACCGCGCGGAGTCATGATTAATGGCTTGTGCTACTGAACACACAAAAGTGCAGCATGGTTAACTCCACACGGTGCCTCTGCCTCACTTTCTTTCTCTTTTTACTGTCATTTACCCAATGTACAGAAATACACACTGTTTCTTTGCTTCTATTCTCTGAAATAAGTGTCTGGACACTCTGAAATTTGATCCATATTCCACTCATCAGCCACTACTTTTTTGCTGTTAGTACCTGGATATAAAAAACCCCCAAAAAACATCCCTTTTGTAATTACATCAGATACCAAGAAAATCTTGAAGATCATAGCTGTGTCCTTTTCAATTTTTTTGTTCTTTTAAATATACCTTGGATTAATGTGTTTGACTGATGCATTTTTTTTATACGCTAATGAAAGAGGGAATGCTGTGCTGGTTGGACATAATGGGGAGAGACTTGGGCATAGATCAAATGTTGGGAATCAATTCATTCATATCACTTGATGATATCATGATTGCTTCAATTACAAGGCGATCACATATGTTCACCGGCTACAGACGGCATCATCAGTTTATTTCAGAGTGAAATCATAATGGTGATGGTATTCCGGCACAGGTTTATCAAGAAAACTAGTCACACATCCCAACCTCTACCGCTATTGCATGCCAAACAGTATTAAATTGTTTATTCTGGTATCTCTGATACATGTATTTAGAGTGTACTATTAAAATGATATAAAAACACATTAAAAATGATTTTGTTGTTGCATTTTTTTTTTTCATTTTCTGCACACTTTGCAGCACCAGGCTCTCATTTTTGATTCCGAATATTTTTTATCCTGTCTGCATGGAGTTTCCCAGAGTTCTGATCTGGGTTCTCCGGTTTCCTCCAAACTGCCTAAAACATACCATGCACATAGATATG